CTGTTTTGATTACTGACTTTGAAGTAAATTTTGAAATCTGGAAGTGTGAGTCCTTCACCTTTGTTCTTCTTTTTCAAGACTGTTTTGCCTATTTGTGGTCCCTTGTAATTCCACACAAATTATAGGATCAGGTTTTCAATTTCTGCAAAAAAAAAAGCCATTGGAATTTTGATAGGGGTTACATTTAATCTGTGAACCAGTATTTCGTTAGGAAATACTGCCATTTTATCAACATTAAGTCTTCCAGTGACTTCCCTGATGGTCCAGTGGTAAAGAATCTGCTTTCCAATGCAGGGGACGTGGGTTCGATCTGTGGTCTGGGGAACTAAGACTAAGACCCCACATGCTGTGGGGCAACTAAGCCCACTCGCCACAACTACTGAGCTCACGCACCTCAATAAGAGAGCCCGCGTGCTGTAAACTACACAGCTCATGCGCTCTGGAGCCCAAGCACCACAACTGGAGAGAAAAAAAGAAAAAAAAACCTGCACACCACAACTAGAGAGAAACCTGCACACGGACACAGCCAAATAAATAAATAAAATATTAAAAAAATAAATACATAAATAAAGAAGTCTGCAAAATATCTAAAATAAAGTTTTCCAATCCATGAACATGGGATGTCTCTTTATTTAGGTCTTTAATTTCTTTCAGCAATGTTTTGTATTTTCAGAGTATAAGTCTTGCACCACCTGGGTGAATTTTATTCTTTCTGATGTTATTGTAAATATTGATAGAATTGTTTTCTTAATTCCTTTTTGCTTTGTCTATTGCTAGTATATAGAAATACAATTGATTTTTGCATGTATCCTGCACCTTTGTTGACTTTGTTATACTTTGTGTTTTTTGTCTTTTTTCTTTAGGATTTTCTAGATATACGATCATGTCTTCTGCAAATAGTTTTATTTCCTCCTTTCCAATTTTGATGCCTTTTCTTTTTCTTGCCTAACTGCTCTGGCCAGAACCTCCAGTACAATGTTGAATAAAATTTGTAAAAGCAGTCATCCTTGTCTTGTTCCTGATCTTAGTGGGAAAGCTTTCAGTCTTTTACCGAGTATGATGTAGGGTTTTTTATGTCTTTTTAGAAAATTCCTTTTTAGAACATTCCCTTTCCTTCTAGTCTGTTTATTGAGTGCTTTTATCATAAAAGGGGATTGGATTTTATCAAATACTTTTTCTGCACCAATAGAGGTGATCATGTGGCTTCTCCCCTTCATTCTACTGTGGTGTTTTATGTTGATTTTCATATGAACTACCCTTGCATTCCTGGGCTAAATCTCACTTGATCATGATGTATAATGCTTTCAATATACTGCTGGATTCTGTCCACTAGTATTTTGTTGAGAATCTTTACATCTATATTCATAAAGGGTATTTGTCTTCAGTTTTCTTGTGATGTCTTTATATGGCTTTGGTGCAGGGCAATGATGACCTAATAGAATGAGTTAGGAAGTGTTCCCTCTGCAGTGCAATGATGACCTAATAGAATGAGTTAGGAAGTGTTCCCTCTGCTTCTATTTTCTGGAATATTTTGAGAAGGACTGATATGAAACATTCTTTTTTTTTTTTTTTTTTTTTTTTTTGTGGTTTGCGGGCCTCTCACTGTTGTGGCCTCTCCCGTTGCGGAGCACAGGCTCCGGACGCGCAGGCTCAGCGGCCACGGCTCATGGGTCCAGCCGCTCCGCAGCATGTGGGATCCTCCCGGGCCAGGGCACGAACCCATGTCCCCTGCATTGGCAGGCGGGCTCTCAACCACTGCGCCACCAGGGAAGCCCCTGAAACATTCTTTAAATGTTTGGTAGAATTCACTAGTGAAGCCACCTGGCCCTCAGATTATTGGGGAGGGAGGGAGGATTGCTGGCTGGGAGGTTTTTGATTACTGATTCAATCACTTGTTATAGAACCATTCAGATTTTGTTTCTCCTTGAGTCAGTCTTGGTAGTTTGTGCGCTTCCAGGAATGCATGGGAACAAGGCTCTCAGCTGGACCAGCTTGGCCCATCTCTGATGACAGAGGCCAATGGGCTCGAGGAGAGGGATGGGAGTGCAGCCTTGCAGGCCCAGTACTTTGGACTTTAATGTAGGGCACAGCTAATTTGCATTTTTAAGGTCCTTCAGGCTGCTTTGTGGAGGATGTGGGGGGTTGGGAGAAGCAGCAGGGAGACCAGGGACAAGGCTGCCACAGTTGTCCGGGTGGACTTGGTGGTGGCCTCGGGGGAGGGCAGAGGTGGGCTTCAGATATATTTTGGAAGCAGAACCCATGGGATGTAGTGATGGATTGGATATGGGGAAGGAGGTCCGGAGGGTCTCAGGTCTCTAGCCTGAGCTCAGGGTGGACAGTGGAAGTGTCATTCCCTGAGATGGGCAAGATGAATGCAGCAGGTGGGGGTGGTTCAGAGGCTGAGGAGTTCTGTTTTGAACTTGAGATTCCTAATCAAGTCATTTCAGGTCCTGGAGCTCAGACTCTTCAACTGGGGTAAAAAGGAAAGAAAAGGAAGCATCTTCCTCACAGGGTTCTTAAGAGAATGTGGCAGGAGCTGGGCTTCCCTTAAGCATGCAAGCTCTGCACAAATCTCTCCGCCAGTTCAAGACTGAGACTTGCTTTTGTTTCCCCCTTCACTCTCTTGTGGGCTGGCAGTTCTGGGCCTGGGGTCAGGGTCTGATAGCATGTTAGGTAAAAGTCTCTGCCCCGTCTTCGGACTTTCCCAGGGAAACCTTCCCCAGAGGCATCTGACCCTCAGAACCCTTAACTACTTACAGATGGGCAAATCTACTGGCCAGTTGTCCAGCTCACCCTGCCAGAGGCTTGAGGACAGTGTTCCCCAGCACATGTCCCCTGCCTGATGCCTGTCCACACTTTACCCTACTTCCTGGTAGGACAGTCTCTGCAGCTCCCCAATCCAGGGCTCCCTTTCAGCTGGCTTGTTCTCCAGGCACCAGTTCTCCTGACAACTCCCTGTGCCTCCAGGGGTTCCTTCCTGGCCCAGGGTTTAGCCCAGGGCCACCCATCATTCTGACACCTAGACAGGATGTCAGAAGGAAATAGCACCAACAAGACAATGTTTCTGGAAAGGCAGTCTTTACAGAGGGCAGCTGGCATTGCTCTTCTTTGGCTTCCTGGGAGACTGTCCTGGATGCAGAACACACAGCACAGCTCCCTGTGGGCTGTGGCAGAACAGAGACTAGTTTGTTATTCTCCACCCCAAAATGACTGGGGTGGTACACATGTTGATACGGTAGGTAAGCGGACACTTGATGGAGATAACAAAAGGTTGCTTTTCTGCCCTGTCCCATGGCTCCAGGACTCCTCAGAAGAGTGACGAGAGGGATATAAGGACAACATTTCTATGTATCATCCACGTGGGTCTGTGGCAGAATGAGACTTAAGTTTGGGAAATTATTTGCCTGGCTTATTTTAAAACATTTAAAATAAACATTTTGGTCCTTGTCATACACTGAGGACACATAACCTGACTTCTCCTCATGCAGGCTTGTATCGATGCACCTAAAACTCTCAAGTAGCCACCATCTCTGAGATGAATGATGGATAAGGGTACAGTCTGCCTCTAAGAACGGCCTTCTCTTGGCAGAGTTTCTGCAAGGGAGGACGCTATTTGAGTATTAAGAACAGAAACAGCACTGGGAACATGTTTGAGGCAGAGGAAATAGCAAGTGCAAAGACTCTGAGTTAGGAACAAACTTGGTCTCTATAATAATCTGCTAGCAGCAGCACTTGTGAAAAAGGCTTAGGAGTTGAAGGAGCTTGTGAGTCTGAAGCAAGTCAGTGAGGCAATGCTATCACCAAAAAGGCTGAGGGGAGCTTCAGCTATATTGATGAAAGTACAGAAATTAAGCCAGAGAGGGAGTCTTTCCACACCCGAACCCCACAATTTAAAACATGCCCAAGGGGTGGGAGTCAGGGGGATCCTGAGGGAGATACGTTTCCCCTTGGCCTAAGGAAGAGCTTCCCTCAGAGGGGTCTGAGGATGGATGGCCCCCAATGCTAGAGGTGTCTGAACAGAGGCCAGAAGAGCACCTGGCAGGATATGGTTGGGAGATTCAAGTATGGGAAGGCTCGTGAAGCAGATGCCTACCTTGACGGTCCCTTTCAGCCCCATGAGAAGGGCTGCCACAGGCCTTCCCGATGCTGATGTAGGTCCCTAAGGAGGCTTCACCGGAGACTGGACACACCATCAGACCTGGTCAGGTGCCCACCCCAGAGTTCTCTCAGCTTGGCACCTGGACACACTGCTTTAGCACCCATATGGGGCAGAGCTGAAAATAGGCTTGAGGCCTCCATGCCAGCCACACCATGGAGGGAGGGGGTTAGACACGTTATCCAGGGCGACATCTCCCCAAGTCTGGAGCTCCACCCCGCATCTAGGATCATTTTCAGTGGTATGAAGAGACATTAAAGAACCTCGTCTTAGAGAGAGAAAATCACTTCCCTTGCGGTTCCCATTCCATTTCCCCAAATCTATTAAGAAGATTCTCAGTTGGGTGCTAGTATGTCTAACTCCTCTGTAACATCCCTAACCTCCCTTTGTACAGAGAGCAAGCCTCAGGTGTAGAGTCTTTGCAGGTGCAGTACGCAGCTGCCATTTCATAACATTATTTGTATTAATTTTTACAGTTACTTTCTATTTATATCAAGTGTAAACTTTCCTTTAAAAATGCATTTAGGGGGCTTCTCTGCTGGCGCAGTGGTTAAGAATCTGCCTGCCAATGCAGGGGACATGGGCTCGAGCCCTGGTCCAGGGAAGATCCCACATACAACGGAGCACTAAACCCGTGAGCCACAACTACTGAAGCCCGCGTACCCAGAGCCCATGCTCCGCAACAAGAGAAGCCACCACAATGAGACGCCCGCGCACCACAACGAAGAGCAGCCCCGGCTCACCACAATTAGAGAAAGCTCGCACACAACAACGAAGACCCAATGCAGCCAAAAATAAATAAATTAATACATTTATATTTTAAAAAATGCATTTAAGTAATGAATTAACTTAAAAATATTACAGGATTTATTTTCATCTGGGTTAAGAAAAGCTGAAGGGCCCTCGAGGTTAGTGGCTGAGGGACAACTGGCAATGGTTAAGTGGGAGATGCCAGTGAAGAACCTACGGGCAGAAGGTTCCAGCACAGTGGAGAGTGCTGCTCCCACCCCCCAGGCTCTCAAAGACAAGCCCAGAGAGTCAATTAAGAAGATTATCTTAGGGACTTCCTTGGCGGTCCAGTGGTTAAGACTCCATGCTTTCACTGCAGGGGGCACGGGTTTGATCCCTGGTTGGGGAACTAAGATCTCACATCCTGCATGGATCCTGCATCCCGCATGGCGTGGCCAAAAAAAAAAAAAAAAAAGATCATCTTATGATGAAGAAGAAAAAAGGGGAAAAAGCTGCAAGTTTAAAAACGTGTTTATCTTTTCTTCTAAAAAAAGTTATAAAATTTAAATAGTTGATTAAAGTTAAAAATCTACTGTTGCAAAATTGATGTATTCTAAAAGATTCCTGGATCTCTTGACTCCAAGTCCGATACACTCTCCATTTTGACCCTGCATTTCTTATAGATCCCACACTTTCAGGTTTTCTTTAGAAAACACGATCTGAGGTCATATGTGAAGTAATCAGCACGTCAAGTGTACGAAGCTCTGGCTGAGGCAGCAGGAGGCACCCTGGCAGGATGAGGGTCCTGCGGAGGGCCACACGTGGGCTGAGTCCACTGCTGCTGGTGCTACCCACACGGGACCTGTGAGGCAAACCTGGAGCTCCTTCCTTGCCCCATCAGCCCTCCTGGTATCTCCTGGGGACTCGACCTCCTGGGCTTGGCTCTCCTGCCGGTGGCCAGTCTTGGCTTCATTCCACTTTGATTCTGGTCAGCTCCCACTTTCCTTCTCCACAGAGTTTCAGAACCAAGGAGTGAAACTACAAAAGACCACCACCACGCGGAGATCAGGCTGCTCTGGCTGTGACAGATTCCCTGCCCTCTCTGCCATCCCCACTCTCCATTTTGAGGGGGCTCTGGCCCCGGCCAGACCCAGCCTTGGCATTCTTTCTCCTCCTCAGGCCATCCTGCGGGCACGGGTACCTTCTCAAGGCTGCGCCGATGGCCCACGCTGACGAACGTCATGCCCAGCTGCTGGCCGATGCGGTAGAGCTCGCTCTCCACCTCCTCGGTCAGGGCACTGGTGGCTTCATCAAGCACTGAGGACAGAACTCAGTGGGAAGAGATGAAGTCCTGCCCCAGACCCACCTCTGCTGCTCCTCCAACCCACACCCACCTTCGCTGGGACCTGGTGGGAGGCTGAAGGCTGTTCTGGCTTACAGGGGCCCTGCCTTAGGGAGAGCGTGGGCCAGAGGAGCGGAGAGCTAGGCTCCATCTGGGAAGCATTCTGCCAGCTGCAGGACAAAATCCCTCAGCTTCCTACCCTATTCCCAATCCACCAGCCACTGCCTAGGACCACTCAATCCAGGGAATCCTAGTTACCCCAAGGATGTCAGTCCTTAGAAAAGTTCACACCTCTGCCAGGCACAGCAGAGGGATGCCCATTCACTGATGGCCGAGCCTGACGGCCATAACATGAGAACCCCTCTCAAGGTTGGCTCCAGCTGCTGCACTGGCACAGAGGTTAAGAACTGGCACTTCAACGTATACCTGAGGATGCCAAGCACTGCTGCCTCATGGGCAGAGCCCTGCCATCCTCTCCTGCAGGGACAGAGATACCTGGCCAGGCACAGGTGTGCTCTCCTACCCATACCAATGCCTCTCCAGGTGCACACGAACACACGCTGCTATACCTGTGAGCGCAAACGTTGCCTGGCTAGCATGTGTACCTACAGGGCGAACCTCACCTGCATACTTCGGCTGCAGGTAGAAGAGCCGGGCAAAGGAGAGCCTCTGCATCTCTCCTGGGGATAGAACATCATACCTGAGAAAGGGGAACGAGAGAGGCCCACTGGAGGAAGGAGGCTATAGCTTGGCTTTTGCACAGAATGGTCTGGGCAGGAAGAGGCTCCCAGCACAGACAGGCTGCCCCAGGACGGATGGATGTCACCCCCCTTTCCGCCACAGCCCCGCTGCCTACACAAGGCAAGGCCAAAATTCTGTACCACGGACATGAACCAGGTCCCCAGCAGCCCAGCAAACCCCTAGAATTTGGGGTCAGAAGTCACTTCATCCCTTGCCCAGGCCTCTGGGACCCACTGTCTTTGGGGGAGCTGGCTCTGGAGCCCCCCAACCTCCTTCTTACCAGTTCCAATCGACCTGCTGGTCCAGACCCTCTGTCCTTGCCACCAAGCTGGACTGTAACACACCCAGAGGGAACGATGTCCATGAAAGGGCCCATCCCTGCTTCCTGCTATCCTGAGGACCTCCTCAGTCCCACCACACACACCCGAGACACAGCTACCCCTGGTCGCGTACCACGGTGGGGCTGGGGGAGCAGTCCGTCAGCCACACTGTTTAGACTTGCTGGAACGTGGTGACCAGAAAAAGCAGGCTGATGTAGTCTTATTATCGTTTTAAAATTCGCTAGAGAGTGGACGCTGCTTGTTGCCTGTACCTGGCCAACAGCTCCCACTGCCGATTTATACACCCATCGCCCTGCCCCAGGCTCAGACTTCCAGCTCCGCTGGGCCTGCACCTGTGGTCAGTGCCACCAGGTGGGCTTGGACCTCAGGGGCCCTGCCCTCACTCACCAGGCCTGCCAACTCCAGGAACCTCATGATCCTCTCATCATCAGCAGAGCCTGCAAAACACAGAAGCCTTCGAGAAGTCAGCC